AATTAATCTTTACTGCTCTCACATGAATCTGTCCAATAAAAATATCATGAACTGATCTGGCAATTTTAGATAGAAATTACATTATTACACTCAGTGACAACTTAAAATATGCTATCAGAAATGATAATAGCAAGACAAAATTAGCCTCAGTTTTAGGTGTTTGAAAGTTTAAAAGTCTGAGGAGATTTACAAAGAAAAAGATACTGAAAAACCAAATTTATGAATTTTCTTATGCCCTTTTCATCAAGGTGTAAACAAACGCTTTTAAAAGAACAGAAAATGTTGTTTGTATTTTGGTATTATTTTGTTAATTCATAGTCTACAATTTCAGAAGGAGTGCAGAATAAGTCACATGTACAGGATCCCCAGATGCTGCCATACAACAGGGACTAATCCCCTGGATGGGTGGGGTGTTGATGCATGGGATTTGAATTTTTGAGAGTTTTGATGACTATACATGTAAAAACAAACTACAGTCATGTATCTTGAGCTTAAAATTTACATTAATATTGGCAGCGATTTGTCATCTTGGTCATCATTTACTGATGTATCGTCCATGCCTAATATGGATAATAAAAAAACATAAATATAATATATATGAATATCAATTACAGCTGCAAAAAAATCCAAGAGAATTCTACACCAGGGGTTTTATTAACATTTTCAGCAGAAGGGCAACTGGTTTTCACAGGTGGGCAAAACTATTAGAACTGAACTTTTCTGTAAGGAAAACTTTCTGCTAGGTGGTCAAACCAGCCGGTCAATTTGCCCAGTGACTAGCCCTTAATGAAACCCTTGTTACACACAGATTTTTCCCAGATGACTTGTCTTTCTTTGTTGTCAAACAGAGTCAACATATGCCTTGCTAAGAAAGATTTCTTGTGGCTAGCGTAATTCCATGTTAATTCCATACAGGTGCAAACTTACACGTATGTTTTAGCAAGTCGAGAAAAGGTAAACTGAGTTATTGAGTTGAGTCCCAGTTGTCCCAGTGGGCACTGCATTTCAACCTCTCCACCCCACCCCACCCCATTAACAGCTAACCACATTAGGTCATCATATTCATGCTTCTGTCTTTAGTTTATTAAGTGTTGTGAAGCTGTACAAATGTACATTAGCTGGAATCTGATAATTCTGTGCCCACTCACCTTGTTTGTCGTTGGATGGGACTCGGAACATGGACACACGCAGTTGCATCCGTCCTGTAGAACAAGAAAGAAGTAGCATTCAACACTTGCCTTTTTATATAACTTGTAATGAATTGTTTAAATTATTAACTTCCAAATTAACATGTGTTTTTTACTTGGCTGAAATTAACTTAAGTTTGGTCTGTGCTAATTAATTTGACAGTGCATAATTTCACATGGAGTGTAACTTCACGCAATGTGTAATACATCTGAAACAAGACTTACAGCTTGCAGACTTCCAAAGTTTGTCCAGTAACAACAGTTAGGGATTTGCTCCAATCCTTTAGCACCAACAACGTATCTTTGGTACAAGAAGCCAAGCATGAAATAAACTGAACCCATGACAATCAGTCTGAAAAGATATACAGAAGGGCACACAGGTGTCAGTTTCACTGAAGAGTATATAATTATTTACAGTGAGTCTCAACTAAAGGAACACAAAATAAACAATGGTTCTCAGTCCTTGTGACCAGTACACAGGAACCAACAGAACTGATACAAAAGACCAAAACTATACACTACAGCTAGCCAATGACGACAATCCTAACATTATGATTTTACCTTAATGTTTACCAGTACACCAGCAGACAGCCTATTGTATTCGTCAATGTCCCGGCCAGACACACCCACCATGCATGTATTGCAACAATGCTGTGCATTACACAACATGTTGCACACTTTTATTCCTCCTGTAGCAATACGCTGTATTTGTTTTTCTTTAGTAGCCTGTTATTACAGGCCTCTTGAGGAGGTGCAGTGGCCTCATGGTTAGTGCGTTCGACTCTGGATTGAGTGGTCTGGGTTCAACATCCCAAAACCTAGGCGTAGTGGCCACAATGTAAAAAGCTTTTTCATTGGTGCATTTCTTAAGCGCATTGTTGTTAAAAGAGCAAATGATGATCTCTGTTAACAAGAACCTCCCGGTCAAACAATAGCAAACATGCACGATAGTCCAAACAAGTTGCTCAAATTTTCCTGCAACATCGCCAGTTTTAGAACGGCAACACTTAAAAGGGTTAGTCAGCGTTTCTGTAGTGAGCTAATTGCTGAAGGCAATTCACGGCTTGTTACTTACATTATCAGACAAATACTGCTTGGGCTGCTTGGGCTCAGATGCTTTGGCTCCACTGAACATGCAGCATCATGATTAAGTACAAACAGATAGTAACACTCAAGTGGGTGGTATGACGAGGATCTATTTCTGTATTCCTCAACAATTTTTACTGTACCCTACAAATTATGAACATAAAAGGTGCAGCAAGGAATCAGTGAAGATACAGCTGATACAAACAAGCATAAAAACATTGAGTTGTATGGAACATTATTACTGCACAAAACATCACTCTGCAGATCGTAATAAACAGGAAACCACTGAATGCCATGCACATTGGTCTTCATATACTAAATAAAAATCTCAAAATATCTTAAATTGTGTTGCTGTAAAAGGTACAGTATATGACATGTTACAGAACTACATAAACCAGTACACTGCTTTATTGTTCTGTTTTGTTTTATTATTTCCTCCATTCATTATAATAATATTACAGACCAAGATATTTTTTCTGTGTATTTAATCACTGTTGTGAGGAATCAGGGAATCCAATATTGTGTGGGTCTAGAATAACAATGATGTAAAAAATGTATGCAAAAAACTTTAAAATTTGCTTTCTTAAGTTATTTAACATTAACCTGAATTGTAACAACTTTTGACTCAAAATGTAACAACTTCTTTAACAAAAAATTAGCCTGTACATGTATATATAGCAGGCTAGTTTTGTGTTAAACACATGTTGGCCAACACAGTCTCCAGTAGCCTCTGTAAATAAAATTTCCAATGAAATTAATTAACTTCCTTCTGCAAAATTTTGATGAATTTTCATTTCCAAAGGCATCGGACATCTCTGAAAATTAATTTTATTGACCAAAATATTGACAGAAATTTGTGAGCAAAGAACCTTTGACAAATTTTGATCGCATTACTTTTGAACAAACTTTACGATATATTGTGCACTACTCATCTAATAAAACACCTTTTCTTAATCACACTTTCCCTTTTTAACACATGCTTCTTCCACTTGTAGACACAATTTTGAATTTTTCAAATCAAACTTGAAAAATCTGGCCTGGAATTTTAAACTTTCAACTGTTATCTTGCACATACAGAATGCATACACTTGGTTCACAACAGGCTTTTAGTCAGATGGGCGTCCGGGCGTCCAGGCGTCCAGTGGATGGGCCATTTTGTAAAGAAAATTGTTTAGTTTTTCATATGTTGCCTTATAAATTGCTCATTTGAGCAGGCCCTACATAGCATCTTTTGGATCGGCCTTTTTTTTCAAAATCTGGCTTAAACCCTGGTTCACGACGATGTCCCTTTAACATCCTAAACAAATTGACCAGTGAACAAGAAATCAAAATGCTCATTTAACTTTTACACTGTGACCGCATGCAATTTCCCGCAAGTAATCTAGCTTACCCTTTGTTCACCAGGATCACAAGTTATCAATACAGTAGCCATTCTTTCTACTCCAGAGCAGTGATGAATGTACTTGTCTCCATGAAAATATCTTATCATCAGCCAGTTAGCTGTAAAAAATATTATACAGTACATGTAATTGAACCAGAATTAATTCTAACCATCAATTATTTTACAAATCTAGGGGGGGGGGGAGGCTTGATCCTTGATTCTCGGGGTACTTGGTCCAAAAAATTTAGGGAACAAAACCATGTAAGAGGTAGAACAGGATTTTGACTAGACTGTGGGTACATGTAGAGATATTGTAATGGAATTCCAGGATTTTCCAGGGCATAAATATGAAAATGAAAAGATTCCAATAATTTTGTAGAGTACATTTATGTATTATTAAATGTTACAGAAATAACATGTTTTTCCACCAAGTTTGAAAGTAAGTGTTTGTGGAGAGGATTATGACAGTAAATCAATTTGCTGGACTTTTTCAGAAGTACAAGTCATGTAGTTAGGAAAATTAATTTTCAAGGAGTTTCTTATTGAGGGAGGGGGTTCTTTACAAAGTTTTATATCGTGGGGCTTGGTTACTGGCGAACGTTGGGTTCATTTTCCCTAGGCAGTCCGAACCTCCACCTGCGACAAATGGTGTTAATTGCTAGACAATGGGTACCGGTACTTACTTCCTCCAGTAACATGAGCTCCATCATATTGTCCAACTGTAGTCCATTTACTCCTATCTGGCCACTTAAAACCCTGTTGCTGAACTGCTCTGGAGTCTCCACTGTTTTTCTGACAGATATTAATGATATATTTGTAATCCTGATCTTGTGTGGTATACATGCTGAAAGTGACAAGTGAAGAATATTATCATTGTTAGTCAAGGATAAGTAAAACGTAGAAATGACTATCATTAGGGGTTAAAATTATGCAAATTTGTCACTCACTCAGATGTAAACAAATCGATATGTCAATGACCAATATCGACTAGTTCACAACATGCCAATTTGCCACTCACTTTATAGATATAGGCAAATCAATCATGTAAATGACCAATATCGATTTTTCCAATGTACCGCTATCCGAAGTAATGTCGCACCATAATGCATGTACGTTGAAACACACTTTGACCATATATTCGTATTCTCGGTACTGGACTGGAACTAGCTTGCAGTGGAGGCTCATGCAGCCCTGGAGACATCATGTTGAAAAGAGAGAAATGAAAGAAATGGTACATGTATTTGCATTTGAAAAGACTCCCCTCATTAGTCTCAGTTGCAAGCCAGTTCCAGTCCAATAATGAGAATACGAATGTGGTCTATTGTGACTGAACCTTCCTTAGCAACAAATTCATGACCAATATTTGGTAGTTAAGGACGACCCCCCTTAAGCTTACAATTACTTATCGCAGGGCGTATCTGATCGATAGAAATCGATCATCGAAAATGTAATCGATTAATTGATAATACTCGATAGTACTTGATATTTGTCGATTGATTAGTCAATTTAATCGATTGAAATCGATAATCACAAATTTTTTGTCACATCGATGGAAATTGGAAATCAAAAACATGATCTCATCTTATCGTAACACTGTGTAACATTTACCTTCAAGCCTACCTTCGAATCCGCTTTGTTGATAAAGATGATGTTACTTCTTTCTCCAAAGGTAGCTACTTTTCTTATTTTTTTTTTCACCAGGATCACTGCTGTAAAGCTGTTTAAAGCAATATTTCAGCAGATTTCAGCCCAGCAGTCCTATGGTGCTGTGTACTGTGTACTCGATCTTTGCTGTACTTACGGGTATTGAATAATCATAACTAACAAACAAATCAAAGGAAAACTTGTACTCTAGAATCATCAGAATCGTGGTTAATATCCGGAGTCACTACTGTACAAATTGGCAAACTGTCGTCCGTTCTCTGAGAATTTAGAAGGGTAATTTGTGAGCGCTTATGGGGAGGCACGCATGGTGGCTTATGGAGCGCGGAGGGCTTGTTTAGATTTGTAAGCCGCTGACCACAAAAACGACAACCTTCCTTATTCAAACAACATCTTTAATATCGGCCAATAAATACACTATAAAAGAACGAATTATGGTAAATTCTCGAAAAAGTTTGTGGAACGGCTTACTAACCGAATTGAAGAGAACGAAGAGGACTCGAGATATCGTAACAACAAGCATGACTCTAATTGTGAAGGCAGAAACGATAGTTTCATAACAGTTGCGTTGTTCATGTTTTAATCCTGTTCAGTGTCANGCGTTGTTTATGTTTTAATCCTTTTCAGTTTCAAAATTTATTAAAAATCCTATAGTCAATCTTAAATAAAGCCGTGTAAAGGGAATGTTTATCAGTTCAGTTTGGACTACTGTGTATTTGTTCGAGTGAGTTGTGACTCATTCTAGCGTAAAACTGAGAACTTTATGAAAGAGAATCTTCGTCCATTTTCTTTTCGATCATTGTCAAACAAATCGATACAATCGATAGCTAATTACAGAAATCGATCAAAATCGATAATCACAAAGATGCGAGTGATCGATTTCTATCGATTTCCGATATTAATCGATTGATTAGTATCGATTACGATCGATTACGTTCGATTTCTATCGAGTATCGAAAATATCGATTAGATACGCCCTGCTTATCGCACTTGTGTGATTTGCCAAAAAGTTTAAAACTTTTGGCGAAAATTACCGATTAGAAGAAGCATTTCATTTCAGCAATGCACAAGCAGTCTTGCATGGATTCCTACGCACTGAAAAAGATAATTAAATGAAACGTAAAGAAGATTGTGTTCACTTACTCTTCGTGGGCAAATTTCTTCAATCTTCCGTTCACATCACTTGGATCGGTCCCTTGATGTTTAGGGCAACGTGAAGAGCTCAAAGTTCTGCCCTCAGAAGATGTAGAACGCGGCCATAGACTCAAGCACACTAAGTATGTTTTAAAAACGAACAGGGAGACATTCATGACTTAACAAAAACGCTAAAAGTCGAGAATCAATTCAACTACATGTATATTGCACTCTCACAAGCGTTCCCATACAAATGCCTTCCGCACTCTGGCCGCGCGTAAATTGGAGCGAGAGTACAAATTCGACGGAGCATGGGGTGGGTAGTAGCTTGCTAAGCAGGCTAGCTCTCCGTAACTCGTTTTGATTATGGATAAGATACATGTACTTCCCAACTCAAATCCGTTTTGGGATTGGAGGAGAAAGATTCACATGTCATGGGTCAAGCCTCATCAACCAACATCTTGAGCTTTCGACTCGCACGACTGTCATTGTTTGCAGTTTGTTTTTTACAGTGTATCTTCAACACCTTGGCCGTCGATGCTAAGTCTTTGAATTGATTAGTTGCTCAACTACGGTATGTTGAACTCTAAGCTTATATTAAGCAAAACACTTAATGACTGGCCCCTCGGGAAACATCCTACACCCTCTATGCTCCTGAGGGTCTCGGAGAAACATCTGCCTCCTCCATAGCCTCCATAGGCTTTTCGTATTTTTTTCTTAGCGCAAAGAGCGATTGGGAGACTGGGAGTGAGCAAAAGGGCGCGAGCGGGAGCTAGTTAAGGTGGCTGAACACAGTTTTTGATACCTGTGTTTCATTCACATTTTGCTCTAAAACCGTTGATCCCTCGGTCGCTAAAAATGGCAGCAAGCAAGAACAACACAAACTTTGGTTTTTTGATGGTTAAGCTGACGTATGTGCCGTTGCCATGGCAACATAAATAAATATAAATAGGCCTTTAAAATTGGTTTTATTTGTAGAAAATCTAGTCATT